CTACAGAGAACTGGGTAGTCTCTCTTAGTTTCTTTTGGAATATCAATCATACATAATTTGGTCTAGTGAGAGTGAAATTCCAGATATTTTATTTTGGCCAGAAATATCTTAATCTAATTGAATGTTAGGATAGTCCACTGACTTCTAATTTTCAGATGAGGTATCCCATTTTCCATCACCACATCACTACTAAGAGTAATTGTCCTGCTAATGGATTAAGAGGGTGGCAGAACTTTTATGGACACTAGCCAAACAAGCCATCTCCACCATGGTGACATGTCCATCCTACTGCTTCTTGATCTCTTAGTGGATTTTGATATTCTTCACCATAATATACTTCTAGGCTGGTTTTTGGGTTTAGGAGTGGAAGATATTGTGCCCTAGTGGTTCACATCCCTTAACAGTTGTTCCCAGCCAGGACTGATGGGGGGTAGGGGGTAGGGGAGAGATCATGTCCATGGCCCCTCAGGGCCTGACACTTTTTTGTCTCCTGTTCAACATCTACATGAAAGCACAGGAAGAGGTCACTCTCAGATCCAGGGTTTGGTATCATCAGTATGCTGATTATACCCAGCTGTGTGTCTCAAATCTGAGTGACACAGGTGAAGCTGTCATTGTTATTGACTTGGAGTCTGAAAGCTATTTTTGATTGGGAAAGACTTCAGTTCAGTACTAACAAGACTGAGTGGCTATGGCTATTTGGCCTCTTGGGGATTGAGGATGTTACCATCGTTGGTCTTGGATGGAGCTGCACTTCCCCATTTGAAACTTTTGCAACTTGTGGTCCTTCTGGATTTGCAGCTACTGCTCAAAGAGTGGGTAATGGCCAGGAGGACCTTTGCACAGGTTCATCTTGTCTACCAGTTGTTGGTTGGGAAGCCCTTCAAAGTTATTCATGCCTTGGTTACCTCACTATCGAATTATTGCAATAATATATGCTCTGCATGGGGCTGCCTTTAAGGTCTATCCAGAAACTTTGAGCTGGTTCAAAATGCAGTGGTATAGTGCCTTTTGTTATGTCCATATGTCATTGCTGTTGTTTGAGTTGCATTGGTTGCCAGTGAGGTTCCGAATGAAGTTCAAGGTGCTGGTTATTATCTATGAAGCCCTGTATGGCATAAGACCTGGATATCTGAGGGACCATTTATCTCCACTTGCTTCTGTCCACCCATATATTCAGACAGAAGTGTGCACTAATCGGGTATCTATTAAATGTTGTCTTCTAGTGTTTTCTCTGTTGTGGTCACTATATTTTGAAACCACACCCTGATGCTTAGATTCCAGAAAGCTCCTAAAACCTGGCTTTGGTCACAGGCCTGGAGTTGATATATCAATGCATTATAGTACTGTATATCTGTGGTCCGTGTTTTGTTTCATTTGTGTTGTTTATAAGATTGTTTTAGTCTTGGCTGTCCATTTGGACTTTGTCCCTAGTTTTTATGGATTTTCCAGTTTTGTACACCACCTACTGGCTTTGAATGGCTAATAAATTTCAATAAATAATCAAATAATCTATGTAACCAATTGTTTCTGTTCAGTTCTTTATGAGGCAATTAAGTGGTTATTGGGATGAAAATATTATAGGGGAGCCAAAAGATACTAACACCCATCACTGTCTGCCTGACCACAACATTATTTTGAAGAATCTTCCAAAACCATTTTTTAAACAGCCAAGAATTTTGAGTTAAGAAGAAAACAAGAAAAAGGAAGTTAAATTAGCCTTCTCCATTCTAATATTCTCCAGAAGTATTAGACTACAGTTCCCATCCACCCAGCCAAATAAATATTTCTAGATTAACAATTTTGTGTTCCCACCCTTGTTACTTTATTTATGTAGTGATGTTATATCCTAGACTATCTGGGCTTTGGTATCCCTCTTAATGGTTTATGGCTACTTATTACCCATATCTTTCAGGAAGAAATTATCTCTGTTTTTTTCTAATCATGTTCTCACTTGTCCTCACAAACATGTATCTGCCAACATCTGTGTTTGATGAAAGCTTTGTATGTGTTTCTTTTCCTTAAAGTGTTATGTAGATTTTGCTATAATCTTCATTGTGTGAAAAGTGGGCCATCTACTGCTGGTTTTAAGTATGAACTTTAAAACAGTGAGCACAGCCGTCAGCAAGCTGAGTGTCCATATTTACAATATTGATATATGTCATCATATATATTAATATGAATATGTCATATATATATTAATATGAATATATTGTTCCTGGTTTTTATTTCATCCATGTTTTTTCTTAAGGGGTGCAATGTAGTCTAGCCTCTTCATGGTGCACCCTGGGCAAAGTGACATTGTCATGGCTAAATAGTCTACACATTTTGGCTGCCGGACTGCACAAGAATTTCTCAGCAAGAAGAAGTAGCATGAATATTGTATTGGTACTAATAGTAGGCAGTATTTCTATTAACTCCCCTACTTGGAATAACAATATATGACAATATAGAAGGTTTTCTGCTTATTTCAGCCTAATCCATGTGGATTCTTTCCCATTTTGATGCTATCCATGGTAGGGGTGGGTTCTAAATTTTTTTACTACCGGTTCTGTGGGTGTGGCTTATTTTGTGGGTGTGGCTTGGAGGTCATGTGACTAGGTGGGCGTGGCTAGCTAGTCAGAGTCATTTCTGGAAGGTCCTCACACTTACGACCAGTCCTCGCACTTACAACGCGACTCATTTGTTTGCTTTTAACACTGATCAGCTGTAGGACGGCCCTTTGAAGCCCCGCAGCAAGAGTTTAAACAGTTTTTTTCCCTCTAGTCATCAGCTGGGACTCAGGAGGCAGCAATAGATTGGGGGTGGGACCAAATAAAAGGTCAGAATAACATGGGGGGGTGGGGGGTGGGAGGGAGGGAGGGGGGGGAGAACCAGTTTGGTGACGTCATATCATCACCGCTACCGGCTCGACCGGACCGGGAGGAACCCACCACTGATCCATGGGTAAAGAGGTACTGCAGGGATTGATTCATATTGAATAACAAATAGTATAGTAATGTATAAATCCTTGACCTAGCCCAGACCCACTAAGGAATGATGGGCTTGTGTTTTCATTTTATTGATAGCTGGTGGTCCGTCAGGAAGCTCATCTAAGAAATTATGTTGAAATTTTGATGGTATAGCCACCAAGTTCACCAGGGGATGCAGCTCTGCTCTATGGAAAGTTTATCTCAAAATAAAGATTTCCTCATTTGACCAAATATAAAATAGCTAGGCCAGCACTGAAAAATAACCCCATACTTTTGCCAAAATGTTGCAGTCACCTGAGTAGTTGCAAATGAACCATCTTTACAATGAATAGGTAGTTCTTCCATATAAGTATTTTTTAAAATAATCCCCATTACTTATATTTAAAAATTTATTTGTTTGTTGAAACAGTTTAGATATCTCCCTGTCTCACAACAATGTCTCTGGGTGTTGCTTAGAAGATGAAAACTAACGAAGAGGAAGAGGAAGAGGAAGAGGAGGAAGAAGAAGAAGAAAAAGAAGAAGAAGAAGAAGAAGAAGGAAGAGGAGGAGGAGGAGGAGAGGAGGAGGAGGAGGAGGAGGAGGAGGAGGAGGAGGAGGAGGAGGAGGACCACCATGAATATTTTATTCCAGAAATGATGGCAAGAACCTCTTAATTTTGGGGCATTGAAGATAGTATTCTTGATGCAAAAGCAATAGAATGCTCTTCTTCATCAACCATGAAATGTGAAATAACAGTTTCAGCATCATTTGTGGAGGCATATCACACTGACCTCAATGGTTTATTTAGGTCATTATATGCAAGCCACATGGTTTGCTATCTGAAAAGCATTTTCACATTTTGTTTTCCATTTCCATTGGACAGTTTCCTGCAACAACTCATGCAGTGGTTGCAGAAATGAGGCTAGGATGACAAAATTTGTCCATAGTAATTTAACAAGTCTGAAATAAATAGGTGAAAATGTATTCACCACTGTGCTGCATCAGCCATATTTTCGGGAATACTGAGGTCAAGCCAACCAATATTGTACGGTAAGTACTCTACTGCCTTTTGAAGAAAGTAACCCTTGCATAATTAGAACACCAGTCATCACATTGAGTAGTGCTAAATGTTCATCCATAAAGCAAGCAGGGATTAAAGTATTATCCAGGATGCAGACGGTACAACCTAAGCTTTGCAATACTTGATCCATTGTATTGTACGCTGAAAAAATGCAGGAGTGTTGAAATCCCCAAAGGAAGTCTTTGATACTGATACAGATATTTGTTGAGTGTTTAGGTACTGCTCTAAGACGGAGACCAAATCTAACTGCTGATGGCACATGAGAAATCCGTTTTACCTTTACTGGATTTGCCTCCAATCATTGTAGCAAACATATCCTGTGTATTTGGTACTGGTTCTGGTTCCAGTTGATAAAAGTTTACATTGTAATCCCCAGACAATCTTCCTTAGAAGAACTAGAGTTAGAGCTGCTCAATTGCTATGTTTGACACATGACATAGTGCTATGATACTCCGTTTATTCCAGTTCTCTTTATATAGGGAAGGAAAAAATAAGAAATATGATTTACAAAAAAAAAAATGATCTTGGCACCAGGATATAGCTTTGAGCTTTTTTATGATGCCATAAATTTATTTTTTAAAATAGGCTAATATTTATTGAGTGTAGGGTCAAAGATGTCTGTGGCGGGGAAGAGGGTGGAATAACTAAAGGAATGTTACCCATCACAAGGCTGCAAGCTCCAGCCTTTTATACATTGTAATTTAGGAATGGAGTACGGCTGAGTTGTGATGTCACAAAACTTGTTTCATCAGATTAAACAGATTCTGTGGATGCCTCACACATGACTAATGGGGGCATTTATAGCAAGCTTATAGATCAGTGCTTAAATCTGGCCCAAGGGGCCACCCTGGAAACATTGTGTTTGGCCACACCCGCCCTGGCCCCCCCAAAGTCAAACACAACCTTGATGCGGCCTTCAATGAAATCAAGTTTGACACCCCTAATACATATACTTTGAAATTTTGTGTTCAACAAAATAAAAGCATTTATTTAATGCATCTACCATCACTTCTAACACTTGTAATACTCACAGAATATAGATTTGGCTCCTGGGTCTTTGAAAAAGCAAGGAAAGAAATACCGTGGAAACACGTTGTACCCTTGGAAGGTGTGACATTGTATAATGTGGCCCTGTCTCCCACAATGGTGACAAGTCACTAATTTAAAGTGGCAAGTGTGCTGTAAATGTGTACCCCATAGCAATACATTTTATTTTACTGTTAATGAGGCTTCCTATGCTCTGGAGGTATGTGATGCTCTCAATCCAGTCTCTTATACTGAGGAGATGCTATTACATTACATACATAAACAAATGTGATTTGCATCTCTCAAATCTTTCTAAATAAGAATCAAAATCCTCAGCTATGTTAGAAATTTCTGTAACTTGTCCAAGAGCAGCCCTTGTGGCCAGTAATCCTTGTTGTGCAGAAAAAAATCCTTCACATAAAATGTCCTGCAACTTCCCACTTGCATAGTAATGCAAGTTAATAGACACAAATCACTCTTGTGGATAATGCAATAATTTTAGGATCTTCTTAAATGTCATTCTAAGGTTGTGCTCTGTGTTCTTATGGGTATGCTTCTAAAACAGTTGATGAGAATAAGTCATGATGAGGTCTAGAAATGAACAAAGTGCTGTCCTTTACAAAAATGGCTGCACAAGCCACAGTTAGTAGAACTTGGATTTTGCATTTTTGAATCTTACTCCTCTTCTGAGTCATATCTGGACAGTGAGCTGAGAAAAAAAAACCAGGTTTGGTAATGTTAGTGTTAAACAGCTATGAGAAGACAAATATTCTTCCCCTTGCTCCAGTTGTTATGAATCAACCAGTTCTGACTCGTGAAGTCTTAATCTATTGACAGTATCCTACCAAGATCAACCCAGTGAGGTTTTCTAATTCCTGTAGCAGTTTCATAGCTTTCTTCTGAGTGCTAGATATGCTCATCATGATAAAAATGATGCATAGTACACAGTACACTATTTTTTCCACTGAAATGCAAATAGAAAGCTTCAGGGTTTTATTTCTCTAGGTAGGTAATTTTGCTTTGAATTCAAGGCAAAATCCTGAAAGATCACCAACTGGAAAAAATATTCAGAAATATTAAATCCAGGAAATATGATGTTGAATTATTTGTTAAAGATTTGCGGAATATATTTCTTGTTACCTGAATGGTCAAGCAAAAATGCATCAAACTGAAAACTACATAAAGAAGTAATAGATAATGTTTGGAGTGGTAATCATGCCTAAAAGCATAATAAAACAGAAGAGAAAATAACAGAACAGAGCAGAGCAAAACAAAACGTGGAAGAGGATCACACATATAATGGGATATTTTATTGGCCCAGGCTGGACAGTACAGGTAGTCCTCAACTTACGACCACAATTGACTTACCATAAATTTTCTGTTACTAAGCAAGACAGTTGTAAACGGAACTTTGCCCCATTTTATGACTTTCCTTGCCACAATTGTTAAGTGAATCACTGCAGTTTTTAAGTTAGTAACTCAGTTGTTAAACAAATCTGGCTTCCCCATTGACTTTGTTTGCCAGAAGGTCACAAAAGGTGATCACCTGACTTTGGGACACTGCAACCATCATAAATATGAACCAGTTGCCAAGTGTCTGAAATTTGATCATGTGATTATGGGGATGTTGCAATGGTCATAAAAGTGAAAAATGGTCATAACTCACTTTTTTCAGTGCTGTTGTAACTTCAACCAGTCACTAAACGAATGGTTGTAAGTTGAGGACTATCTGTAATGCCTATTGCTGAAAAAAACAAACTGCTCTTCTATTTAAAATAAAGCATATATTTTCAGGAGTAGAAACTGCTATATCTAAAAGTACGTGCAAAATTCTGGCTGGGGGATCTTTCATGCATATTTGTTTCTCTTGGGGTAATAACCATTCTGCTTTGAACTATTCATATTCAAGAGGACTAGGGGCTTAGATGTTGCTTTTTCCAATTTTTACTAGTACTGTTGTACTATTTAATAGTACTGTTGTAGAATAGCAGGTTTCAGGTGCACTTCATAAATTCTATAAGGGGCAGTGAGGATCCAATCAACAAGAAAGCAGCCAAGTAGTGTAATAAGTAAAATAATGTCACAAGAAAAAAAATGTGTCTTGTTACAAGCTACAGTACAGATTAATATCAATCAGCTTTGAAATTTTTCAAATGGTTTCACAGAAATTTGACTTTGGTTTCATTAGTCACTAATGAATAATTACTGTACTTTGTATCTTAAAACCTAAAGAGAATGGTGTATTGTTTGGCTGTAGACAACTGCTCAACAGAACTGATGTCTTTTTAAATGCAAAGCTACATAATGAAATCTCTTAGAATAAGAATGAATATGGAAACATGCCAACTATACACAAAGGCACGTATTGAAAAAAAATCTCTTTTAGCATTATCACACAAGGTCTGCCAGCTATTTCCAAGTTAATCTTACTGCTGAGCTGTTCCCTGCCCACAATCCCATATCAGAGAACCAAGATTTTGTTCACCCACTAGCACAATTTTGCTGTCAAAATATAAGCAATCTGATTCTTGGCAGCCAACATAACAGGTGTATTCCCAATTCCAAAGAGCAGACTCTGGAATCAGGAAAAATTATACCCATTTGCAATCATTTTCAGCTTTTTAGGCCCTGCAGAATTTCAATCCCAAACTCAAAGGAAAGGCAAAATGAGTGCAATTAGCATGTTGATGACAACTTGTTTATTTATGTTTATCTTGTATTTATTAGTTTTATAAATAACTCAAGATGGTAAACGTATCTAATATTCCTTTCTTCTTTTTTTATTCCTTTCAACAACAACCCTGTGAGGTGGGCTAAACTGAGAGAAAGTGACAGTTGTCTCCAAATCTGCGAATGACTCTTTTGAAACGCTTCATATGGATACTAAATTAGGGTTATCAGAACAGAGCTGCAAAAATTTGAACAAAGGCAACTAAAATATGTACTGTATTGTAATATTTGTACAGATCTTTGCATCCTGAATCTGATGTGATGCTAGAAGGAAACAGCTGATAACCAGACAGACTAAGTGACTTCCACATGTTACAAAACAAATGGCCAGAAGTCCCTTACTGTGTAAGGAACAGTGGATGAGGTAAAGTTTTAAACCCTGGGCCTATTTTAAAAAGAAGGTTAATTGCTTACTTCTTTAGTAGTTTGTCTTCATTGTTAGATCTTTTTGTATTTACAGTAAAAGTAACTTCTTTAGCCAAGTGCTGTCCTGGAGTCATTGCTGCTTGCTTCTGAGTGTGTGGATTTCTAAAGAAAGTTCTATTGCAGAACTCTGGGTGAAACTGCCATGTATTAACCCTAATTAGGTAACAGGGCAGACAGGACAGAACCTTGTAGGATTCCTCAGTACAATTCCAAGAAAACCAAATACCTACAGTGCTATCTTCAGTGTTTCTGGAAGGAGAGTCATAGAGCCACCACAAAGCTGTGACTTCAACCTTAAAGTTCTCTGCAAATTACTGTGGTCAATGACATCAGAAGCCAGGGAAGGTAATGCTCTCCCGTGTCTTTTCCAGCATCGATCATCCCTTCAGACAATCAAGGTTGCCTCTATGCCAAATCCAGATCGTAGCATTTGCTGGAAAGGATCTTATAATCGGTTTCATTAAAAGCACTACCTCCTTATTTACCAACAGAGCCTAATGTAGAATATATTAAAATGTTCAGGATTGAAAGATTTTCTTAAACAAGGCCACATCACCAATCTCCTTTAAGGCATTAGAAGACTCTGTAATCAATATTGGCAAGACTGATGCTTTAGAGCATGGATGTCAAACTCACACCATCACGTTGCTGTCATGTGCTGTCACGTTGCTGTCAGTTTGACACCCCTGTAAGAGGCTTCTGTAAGACAGGCAAGGAAGGAGCCAACATACAGAGAGTGGTGCTTAGAGATCTAAGAACCTCATACACTTTCTCAGGAAACAAACTACAAAACAAACTCAGGCTATATTATTAAGTTATGTGGTGGACTCGATTCTGGGCTTCTTTCCTTCTGGCAGCCAGCAGGCCCTTGCTGCCTGGTGAGAGACCTTCTGGCTGCCAGAAGGAAAAAAGCCCAGAATCGAGTGGATGTGACTCCACTGAGCTAGGGCTGCAGAAAAATCTTGGCTACGTAGGAAAAACCTGATTAAAAGAAATATATATATATATTGTGTGTGTGTGTGTGTGTGTGTGTGTGTGTATGTAATGGAGGTCAGATGGGGCCATCTGGTTTACAGGTGAAGAGAGTTCCCTTGGGTGATTCTCTGCAGATGTAAAGGGAAATGAGATCTCTTTTCTCACTACTGCTGCATAGATCTCATGTTAATGCCTAATTACTCATTCTTGGACCATTGCCATACTTGTTTTGCCCTTAATATTTAATTACTCAAAACTATTTATTTTTCAAAACTACTCTTGGTATATTACATGCAATGGGAGAGAGGCAGTTAAGAAGCACAATATCAACAATCCTGAACATCTTGGTATATATTACTGGAAATCTACCTGGAATAAAGGAAGAATGGCATCAAGGCCTGTGATAGCTCCTAGCTCCCCAGGATCCTTAGGTAGCTAAAGGAGGTGAAAAGAGGAACATTTTAAAAAGAAAGGATCTTACCTCCCCTCTTTCCGTAATGTCACCCTTTATCCATACTATTAAAATAGGAGCATTAATGCCCCTGGAAAAAAATTAAAAAGTCATATTGAGGCCATAAATACTCATGCACATAATATAAGGTAGGAAAGAGAAATAACCCCCCTTCCCAAGCAAAATACAACAATATTGAATGTTATTGAATAAATATGTATTAAGAGAAGTAATCCCAGGTCTCCTTAATTAGCTACAGGCATTAATATTCTAGCCTGCTAAATTTCCTATTTAGCCATTCTTTTTTTTTTAACCCCTTTGTTCAATCATGCCCAGTTCTCAGAGACTGCCAGGACAAGTCCCTGTAGTTTTTATTGGCAGAGATGTTCAGCAGCGGTTTGCCATTGCCTCTTTCCTAGGACTATAGGAGCAAAAGCCATATGTATTGAGAACCACTTTTCTTCTTTCTTACTTTCTCTGGAGATGGTGATCATCTGGTCAAAGTTGGGCTAATTCTTGGAAATAGCCCCGAGAATTTCAAGGAAGTGCTTTGATAGGAACAACCATTTCTTGGGTGAATGGAAGAACAATTCAAACAGTAACTATCATCTGTTCTTAACGTTACATAATTGAGATGAGATTTTGGACTTTTTAAATATCAATACAATGCGTGGTCTGCTCCAAGTAGCCATCGTGTTGCTTTCAGGAGGCTGTTCATCTCTTTATGTCTCTGCAATTGCTTGAGGAAACAGAAGGTTTCATATCTTGCCGTATAGCCACTGAAATTCAGGTCTACAAAGGACTGCCCATTTTTTGCTGCCATTCTTTTGGAATTTTCCCATTAAAAGCCTTTCTTTCTTTCTCCACTCATTCATTAGGAGTATTATTGACAAGTACAAGCCAGAGTAACAGCTATTTTATTTTCAGCATCAGTCTCCCGTTTGCTCGAGATTTACACATGCACACCTGCCTTCCAGCTCCTACTAAAAAGAAATTTTCTAATCCCACCCCACCCGCACTTTTTGGCACCCTGTGTTGGCAAACCTTTTAGATTCTCAGGAGTCTTTATTCTATGCCATCTGCTTTTTCCATCTTCTCTATACTTCCCAGTACCCTGAGGGCCATCCTATGTTTTATTTACAATTTCCTTTTGGCGTTTAAAGGATTATGTGATCCTATTCTATTCTCAGACAGCAATATTTGAGAAATATAAAATGTTTTCATTTTTTTTTCTTTTTGGAAGAAGCTAACCGTGAGTTACCATACTGGTACTATTAATTTGTTTCTTTCATTGTTTTTTAATCTTTGCATTAGTATCCTCAAAGCTTCCTGCAGCAATCCTATGTAAATAATGGTCAAAATAGCATTAAAAACCTTTCTTGGAGAAAGGGTCCTCAACTAGTGTTGGCTCCAATTAAACTATAATGTGTAGCTACAGTTTTCTTCCTGGCTGATGAACTTAATAAGTAGAACTGTTGTCTCATGGCTGGTGCAATCCCAGACAGAGCTTTTGCATTATTTGGTATGTAATATGCCCTATGCAAATCTATTCTAGAGATCCTACTGCAATGTGTATAACACACAGTGAAGGGAAAGAATTTGTGTCACTGATTCACAAATGAGTAGACTCAATTGGGTAAAATCCTGTAGTCCCATGTGAAAAGTCTGATTGACTAAAGCCATAATAGCCAGTATCTGGGGGCCAATCAGGTGATGACTGTGGAATGTAAAAAATTGTCACTTGAAATATAAGAGAAGGAAAGAGATGAATTAATAGTTACTTTTCAGACTCTGCTTTCAAATTGATAGATTGTATTATATTGTACTATAGATTGTATTATAGTAGTAGTGTTAATTCTTACTTGGAACACTGACAAGTAATACTATATGTAGGACCTAGTATCTTTACTTTGCTTATATATATACACATTTTTTTTATTTGAAAATAAGGACAAATAAAGGCAAATCGGAAATAAAAATTATAACAATATATATATACTTCATACAAGCTACCAAAGTAATAAAAAATGTACGTAAAAATGTACACACACATTTTTATATAGCATTGGTGGAAAGACATTGTTTGGGACAGAGGAAGATGGGGAAAAATTAAGAGAAGGATTTCTTCCAAGATTATTACCACCTCCATAATTAGTGGTGACTTTCAAGTGTTATTCTAAGCTGTCAAACTTGCGGCCCGCAGGCCGGATGTGTCACACGCTGGCCATGCCCATGCCCAGTTTAGGGAAGGAGAAAAAAAGTCATGATATGTCACTTGATGCTGCCATGACGACGCGAGTTTGACACCCCTGTTCTAAGCCATTTGAGTTAATCTAAATCTATAATGTTTCTCCAAAAGAATATAAATACTGTTATCTAACTCCTATTAGGAAATAAGGCTTCATTAGCAACATAGAGATTATTTTGTATTGAATAATACTATTGAACAATTTAGTATTGTCCATTCTGGCACAGGTCTCCAAGGCTTCTTGGTACAGATTTTTTCCAACTGTATCTGAAAATATTAAAGACTAAGTCAGCAATTCAAAATGTACTTTCCAGGTCATTTAGTATTGAAACTTGAAGAAGCTAATTGTCTATTCATGTTTCGCAATAAAAGATATAACATCTAGCATAATAAACATTGAAGATTGAAGAAAGTGTTTGGTGGAGCTGAAGCAATAAAACGACAAGAAAATTAGGACTATGCTCAAAGAAATTATAATCTAAAATAATACTTAGGAGAAATAAGTAGGTGTAGACAGAACTCTCGCCTGATTAGACTCTGTTTGGAATATGTATCTACTTATTTGATTAACCATTTTTTTAAAAAAATCTATTTGGAATATGTTTTCATAAACTACTGACTGAAGAAAGATAGCTTTAAATTGGCATATTTATATTTTCTGTGTATATCTTTGTTTTAAGTACAAGGGAAGGGTGATTTACTCCTATTGGTACTGGAATTTCTACCAGTTTCAGAACCAGGAATGTAATGTATACATTTTCTAAGGATCAGGGTAAGAGAATCTGGACTATCAGAAAATATTCTAAGCCATTATTTTTATCAAAACATTCACAGGGAAAGGAACTTTTTGAACTGATTGTGCATTGCTCAACACCTTCTCTCAACAACAGATGCCATGCTAGTATGTGGCTGCATAATGTTAGAAGTTATTTTTGTTAAATATCACACAGTCAACACACTAGCTATGTCGAGGAGCATCAATAGGAGAAAGTGATATCTCATTCTTCTGATACTGAAAAAAGTAAAACCTGTAAGGCACTCTTTAATCCATGCAAGGAAGGAGGTGATGGATCGCAATGGAGGAATGTTTTATTTGAGTTTAATAATCCACACTTACAATAAAACTTTTAAAAAGTTACAGCCATGAAATTCTGGCATGTGGATTTGTACATTAATAGCTTGTGCTTAGTTCTGTTCTGAATGTCTTTTTCTATATTTATAACAGGAATGGCAAACCTTGGATTCCCCTCTACTTTCTTGTGTTCCATGACAGATGAGATGACCTACAGACAATCCTTATGACCACAACTGAACCCAAAATTTATGTTGCTAAACGAGACAGTTCAGTCAATTTTGCCCCTTTTTATGACTTCCTTTTGCCACAGTTGTTAAGTGAATCACTGTAGTCATTTTTTTATTATTTTTTTATTTGATTTATATGCCGCCCTTCTCCGGAGACTCAGGGTGGCTTACAATGTGTTAAGCAATAACCTTCATACTTTTGTATATTTATACAAAGTCAGCTTATTGCCCCCACAATCCGGGTCCTCATTTTACCTACCTTAGAAAGGATGGAAGGCTGAGTCAACCTTGAGCCTGGTGAGATTTGAACTTGCAGTAATTGCAGACAGCTGATGTTAATAACAGTGCTTTAGTCTGCTGCGCCACCAGGGCTCTTTCATTAAGTTAATAACATGGTTGTTAAGTGAACCTGGCTTCCCCATTGAGTTTGCTTGTCAGATCACAAAAGGTGATCACATGATCTTCTGTGTCATAAATATGAATCAGTTACCAAGTGTTTGAATTTTGATCACGTGACCATGGAAATGCTGCAATAGTTGTGTGAAAAAATGGTCATAAATCACTTTTTTCAGTGCTGTTGTAACTTTGAATGATCACTAAATGAACTTTTGTAAGTCAAGGATTACTGGTAATCGGTCTGGGGCATAGAATAAGGAGGATGCTGCCTCTATACCTAGACTGGAGTAAAATACCTGTTAGTCTTCCAGTCTGCACATTATGACAGATGAAGGTCCAAATTAGTTGGATCTCTGTACTTATTCAAATGTTTTTTTTTATCATTCTGAGTTTTACATGTCTTCTCTTACTTATTAATTTGCTTGAGTTGTTTCCTATCAAAGATAGAACTCCCTTCTTCTCAATTTTTAAATGGGTAATTTGAGAATTAGAGTTATATGGAATTATAGAAATAATTCACACTTTTGTTAACTTTAGAGAATTTAATGTGTTTTTATATCTGTATCAAAGGAAGTTGGAAGTCATTCTTTTTCTATTTTCTTTACTTTTTCTTTTCTTTTTTTTTCCTTTTGGTACTTTTATCTTGCTTTCTTCCTGACTTTTCATTTTTCTATTTTTTTTCTTAGCTCATTTATCTTGTATTCTTTTTTTTTTTTTTGAAATTCAGGAAACACACGCACCCGTACACACATTTTTAAGGGATAACTATTAGAGAATGCTGATCTTCAAGCTTCATAAAAACAACAGCAACAAAGAACTCTGTTGCCACTTAATAGCATATTTATTAAAGGATACGTTTATATAGATCACAGTCTACTTCATGAGACCTGTGCAATCAAGTGGACTGTGATCTTATGCATTAGCTTTCAAAATGCCACAGGTTTCTGTGGCTTTGCTGCACACTGCTGTCCAGCTGAAAGCAAACATACCAAACAGAATTTTATTCCCAATCTGAATATCCTAAGGTTATTTAAAAAC